TATGTATATATGAATTGGCATTCAACCTAGGGCCGGCAGTACAGCCCTTTAACCTTAGTAACTTGGAAGGTTGAAGTGCGAGGATGGCAAATTCAAGGCCAGCCTGGGCAATTTAGCAATACTTTGCTTCAAAGTAAATAGTTAAGAGGGGTGGAGGTTGGGTGTGGTGGCGCATGCCTTTAATCCTGGCACTTGGGAGGCAGAGGCAGGAGGACCTCTGTGAGTTGGTGGCCAGCCTGGTCTACATAGTAAGTTCCATGCCAGTTGGGGCTACAGGGAGATCCTGTCTCAAAAAGACCGAAACCAAACAAACCAAAAAAAAAAAAAAACCCAGAAAACAACAACAACAAAAAGAGGGGATGGAGATATAAATCAGTGGCAGAGTGCTGCTTAGCACAAATGCAGCCCTGGGTTTAATCTTCAGAACCACAGGAAAACAAACATACAGTAGCAGAAGCAAAATCAATAGGCATTAGCTGTCTCAGTATTACTAAGATGTTGCTGCTCCTAGAACCTCTCAGGATTATACACAGAGATAGATACATAAGTATAGACACTTAGATACAGCACATACTCAAACCCATATATGCATATGTAATATATTATATATTACAGACATTCATATTTATCTACTATTTGTGTGAAGCCATGAGTTCATACAAATTTTGTAATTCCAATCTAACACCATAAAATTTACATTTGTTTTCTTATCTTTTACATTCTTAGCTCTTTTCCAATAATGAAAAACCTGGCTCTCGCTAGTCTTTTACTATGTTGAATTATTGTGTACCAGTCCCTGTTTCCCATCTTTGCCACAGGTCCCCTCATGCAGAGACCCCTTCTGCCCCCTTGGCCTCTGTCCTAGTTTGTTTCTTCATCGCTGTGAGAAAACACTCTGACCACTACCAACTTGGGGAGGAAAGGGTTTATTTATCTTACATCTCCCGGGTCACAGTTCATCAAGGAGCCCAAGGTAGGAACTCAGGACAGGAATCTGGAGGCAGGAGCTGGAGCACAGGCCATGGAGGAACACTGCTTACTGGATTGCTCCTGCTCAGCCTGCTTTCTTATGCAACACAGGCCCACCTGCCCAGGGGTGGCACCACCCACAGTGGGCTGGGCCCTCCCACATCACTCATCAAGAAGATGCCTATCAGACATGGCCACGGACGAGTCCAATAGAGGAAATTCCCCAATTGAGGCTCCCTCAACCCAGGTGTGTCAAGTTGACACTAAAGCTATCCAGCACAGCCTCCAATAACCTGTGCCAGATCACACGGTCACATCATCACACTTGGCTTCTGGTACTCCTGGTCTCCCCAGTCATGGCTCCCATGTGGATACTCTCTTCCTCTGCCAGCTTCTAGCAGCAGGCTGAGCCCTGTGAGTGTTCTCCAGAACTCAGGAGGGTCTGATGTCTTGTGTGGGGTGGCTGCTACTCCTCCTCCCTCCTCCCTACCTTTAATCCCAGCATGCGGGAGGCAGAGGCAGGCAGATCTCTGTGAGTTCAAGGCCAACCTGGTCTACATAGTGAGTTCTAGGACAGCTGGGGCTACAGGGAGAGCCTGTCTCAAAAAGCCAAAAAAAAAAAGACTTCATTCTTCTATTTTTCTATTTTACAGTTCACAGAGACTGTGATTAACCTGCACATTAAACAGGCAAAAGAATTGGTTTTGATGCCAATGAAAGTCACATTAGATGTTCAGAAAAAAATTACAGTAAATATATTTTTATTTAAATATTTTATTTATAATTTTTATTTATGTATATGAGTATATTGCCTACATGTATGTAAGTGCACCCATGTCATGTAATGCCTGTGAAGGTCAAAAGAAGGCATCAGATTCCCCTGGAACTGGAGTTACAGAAGGTTGTTGGCTGCCATGTAGGTGCTGGGAATTGAACCTGGGTCCTTTGTAAGTATAGTCAGTGCTCTTAACTGCTGAGCCATCTCTCCAGCCCTGTAAATATATTTTGAATTGAAATAAATGATCAAATACAGCTAAGAAAATTCCTTGACTCATAGTCATTAAAGACCAAATGTAGTAAAACTGAGCTGTTAAAAACTTACTTCAGCTTGTGCGTGACTATTGGGTTCATATACTTGCCCCTATGGAATTTGTCATTGGCTGTTATCTAGACAGGAGGAATAATGAAAAGCTACTGCCTTCCGGAATAAGAGCATGCAGTTTAAAAGGGAATTAAGGCCCAGTGAAGAAATTGCTTGGAAGTAGACTGTAGCTAAATCACAGGATATTCACCTTTTAAAAGTTATGGGAGAAATAAAAACATGCTTATTTAATTAGAAGGAAAACAATTTCTTATTTGTGTGGTTAAGAGCACTGTTGCTCTAGCAGAAGACCTGGGTTCAGTTCCCAGCACCCACATGGCAGCTAACAACCATTCGTACTCCAGTTTGACAGGGATCTGATGCCCTCTTCTGGCCTTCACTGGCATTGCATACAGGTGGTACACATACATGGAGGCAAACCACTCAAGCACATAAAATAAATCAAAACATTTTCTTAGGTCTGGAGAGATGGTTTAGCAGTTAACGGCACTTTCTACTCTTGTAGAGGATCAGGGTTTGATTCCCAGTACCCCATCAGGTGATTCACAACTGCTTGTAACTCCAGTTCCAGGGGGTCTGACACCCTCTTCCAGCCTCCAAGGCACTGCAGGCATGTGGTATACATACAGACAGACAGGCACACACATATAAGTAAATATAAATGAAAGAACTTTTAAATTTCTTAAGTAATTTTCTGTAAGTCCTTAACATCACAATATAACTGTATTTGTCAGGGTTCTCCAGAAAAACAGAACCAATAGAGGATAAATATTCATATGTATGTGATGTGTATATGTGCATATATATGCATGTTTAAATATAAATGTGGAAACAGATTGATTTCTTATTGAATGTTGCTCAAGTGATTGTGGATCCTGCAGGTCTGAAAACTCTAGGACACGCCTACGGCCTTGAAATTCCGGTAAGAATGGATACTGTAGTCTTGAGTCTAAAAACTACAGGCTAGGCCAGGCAGCCTAGACACTTAGGCCAGTTTTCCATGTTTCTGTGTTGAGTGCAATTCCTTCTTCTTTAGGCCGCTGTTCCTCAGGCCTCCAGTGATTGGAGGGGCTTAACCACACCATGAGGGTTAACTCTGATATGCTTTAAAGTCACCTAATTGTAAACATTATTACATCTACAACATGCCTTCATAGAACCATCTAGAGAAGTGTTCAATCAACACTGAGCACAATTGCCTAGCCCTCGCTGGCACATAAAGCAAACCGTCAGAATAATGATCTGCTTTGAAACAAACATTGATTTTCTTTGCCAAGCAATTCCAAACATTTGACTTAATCTTTTTTCCTTGCACTAGTTAACTAGAAATGAATCAACTCTTCTCTGACTTTAAGTATCCATACAAGTCTTATTAGAAAATAGATTTACGTTTGTTAGAAAACATTGGAATGCATGATTTTAGATCAATTATAATTTTTGCTTTCTTTTCTCTGTGATTGCATATTTCATCTTCTCTGATGATTTTCCTTGATGTCTTATATCTGGAAGAAAATACAGGCTGAACATGTACTGGAATTTGTGAGCAGAGGGGCTGCACATGTGGCCTCTGTCTCTCAGCACCCTGGAGAAGCATTTGACTTGTGCCAGCTGGACTAGTGTGGCTCAGGACTCCAGGAGGACTGGATTCCCTTGTCCTACTCAGTTGATTCCTCTTTTTATACAGCAAGCCTGAGGGTGGACTTGCCAACAGGGACAGAATGCCAGCTTGGGCATACAGCAGGCTAAGGGCAGCTGCTTGGAGAGCTGGCTGTCTGGAGCACCTGTTGCCAGCACCTGTTGACCTTGTAGTCTGTTGAATCTGAGTGTAGCTCCTCCTGTTGAGGGCCAGGAGGCGGTGCAGGCTCATTAGATTTTTGTCAGTCTGCGGGATCAGACATGTCTGGGTTTCTAGAAAGTATAGAGAAAACTCATAAATAAAACATATTGTACCTCAATTGCCAGTCATCACCTTCAGGTGTACCTGATTTAAAGCAACTTTTAGGTTATTTGCATGCACAGCTCCTGCAAGAAAGAACATAGGGATTGGGCTGGCAACGTAGTTCATTGGTGGAGCACTTGCCTGGCATGAATGCTTGAGGTCCTGGGTATGATCCTCAGCACTGAAAATAAAAAGCAAGGAGAACACAGGGGTAAATACCCATAAGCTGAAGTTGTGCTGATATGGTCAGGAACTAGAAGTAGCTCAATGGAACATGATGATACAGCAATCTACTGTATAAAGAATGCAATAAATATGAACTAAGTGACGTGAAGCTAATAACACTACTGTATTAGCTACTTTTTTCACTGCCTTGGCAAAATACCTGGCAAAAGTAACTTACATGAGGAAAGGTTTGTTTCACTGATTCAGAAGCGACACAGTTCATCAGGGCCAAGAAGGCTTGCTGGCAGGGAAGTAAGGCAGTTGGTCACATTGGTCACATAACCAGGAAGCAGAGAGAAAGGACAGCTGATGCTCGGCTCACTTTCTCTTTAAAATAATTTTTTTTCTTGGTCTTTTTGAGACAGGGTCTCCCTGTAGCCCCAGCTGTCCTGGAACTCACTATGTAGACCAGGCTGGCCTTGAACTCACAGAGATCTGCCTG